TTCCCTTGAATCACTTTGGGGAACTGGTGAAATTTTGCAGGTCTTTGTTTCAATGACTGTTCTGTAAGGGCTGCCTTCATCATTCTCTTGACTGGAAAGTTTTATAAAAATCAACTGTGCAGGGAGTGTTCAAGGACAACTATGAAATCATTGCACTGAGGAGCCTTTTTATCTCAACCAATATGTAAATCAATGCCCCTTAAAGGCAACAGCTGGTTTGCCTTTTCCAGAAACTCCTACCAGCACAAAGTCTGTGCATTATCCCAAAACGTCTCCTTTCAATTCCCATCCATTCATTACAGGGAGACCAAAAATGATTCTGCGCCTAAACCTGTTATCCTTACTTGCACTCTTTGGAGGTTAAATTCCTTTTCTATTTGCAGTTTAATTTCCTGCTATTATATACAGGCAATCTCATTGATACATTTTTCCTTTTAGATGTCCAATCTGACATCCAATTGGTGGAGTCTGGAGGGGATGTGAGAAGACCTGGAGGGTCCCTCCGTCTTTCCTGCCAAGCCTCTGGATTCACCTTCAGAAGCTACTGGATCCACTGGGCAAGACAGGCAAATGAACAATCTGAAAGCTGAAGACACTGCAGTCTATTATTTTGTGAGAGACACAGTGAGAGGAAGTGAATCTGAAACTAAACAAAAACCTTCCTGTCTTCAGAGCAGCTCAGCGATTTGATTCATCCAAGATCCTGGAATAGCCAATGAGGATTCATCACCATATATTGAGATTTTTACCATATATTTTATTTTGTCCTAGAAATCCAGGTGTAGAATGTGCTGAAAGACAATGAAAAATGAGGAATATGGCTTCAAAATTCCAATTTCACTGTTTACCAGGTGATCTGGCTTCAGAAAATAAAACCGTGTGGAATGTGATTTTTAGTACCATGGTCAAAGGCAAAAAAAAATAATCTTTCTAAATGTCCATATTGCCGTAAAGATATTGAGAATATTTCTGCTCCAAAAGAATCTTCTTGCAGAATTAGGAAGATGTTCTCCTTCCTAATTTTTAATGCTAGGGGGCAATGTTGTCATACAAAACACCTATGCCATAGGTGCTTTTTCATGAGGCAACAGGATGGTGGGAAATGGAAGGATTTATGCCATTCCCCTCCATCCAGTCAGAGCTGAAGAAGCTTCTTGGATGAGGAGTGAAACATCTTCAAAGAAAAACAAGGAAGTCCAGTTGCCTCGTGAAAAAGCACCTTTGAAATAACTATGACCTGGATGACTAAGAGTCTCCATACACACCATTGCCTATGCACCAAAGGGGTGTTTGATAGGGAATAAAACAAGCTTCATTAGATGTTGTGTCACTTATTTTGGCCAAGAAATATGAGGGAATTCACTGCAGAAAGCAATTATGGTGGGAAGAGTTAGCGGTAAAAGGAAATGAGGCCATCAAAGAACATGGTGGCTGGACACCATCAAAGCTGACACCAGCCAGAACATACAAAAACTCAAAAGAAATACTGCAAGATCAGGAGAGACCTGGCCCATAAAATCATCAAGAGTTGGAGCCAACTGAATGGATAACATCATCATCATTAAATAGTGTCATGTTTTGGAGAAAGTATAATTGGTTGTTGGTTCTATTATTATTTCCTCAAAATCTCTCAAGAAAATTCCACATCTCAGGATTCTACAATCCTCACTCTGAAGCAGAGAATGTTTATAAAATCATATGCATCATTGGTTTTTGTCACCAGAAAAAAATCAGTTCAGAGGCTTTATATAATTTGATGGAAATAAAAGCAACATAGAGGGACATTTTATCAATTATGGTGGACATACAAAAACAAAACAAAAAAACATAAAAAATGTTGGATACAGATATGTATAGTAATCCAGAGTATTTTAAAGATTAAGCTACAGTTGAAAGCAGAGAGTTTTCTTTTGGGACTATTAGATGGGCAATTAGAAAAAAAAAAGTCATGAAGCTCTCTTTTTAATATATGATAACTGAGAGGATATTATTATATAATCAAAATTAGAAACACTGGACACTACCCACAATGGAGGGATGGACAGTGAATATGATGGAACTTGTAAGGAAGCCTAAACTAATGTCTTTGATTAGAAAATATTTTATAGACATTTGCAGGAAAGAGAAAAACACACATAATTTGTAGTTTTGATGAAAACAAATGGATAGTAGAAAAATATGAGCTCCTTTTTGTAATTATAAATAAGAGTTAATATTGCAAATGTACTTATATTTGCTGCAGAAGAAATATGAAGCTTCCTTTTTCTCTTTCTTTTCAGTCTCTTCATGTACTTTTTAATCTTCCTTCCTTCCTTCTTTCCTTCCTTCCTTTCTTCCTCTGTTATTTTAATTTTTATGGCTGCCCTTCTTGAAGAATCAACTCTGGGCAAGTAAGACACCACACAAAATAGCTTCCAAAACAAAAATGATTTTGGTCTGCATTAAACTCTTTTGTGTTTCTTCAAAATATTATATTAAAGGGGAGGGGGAATGTATAAAACCTTTCCTGAACTCAGATGTGCTGCTGTTTTCATGTTTTCTAACATGCCTCTTTCAAAAGTTCTTAGTGCTTGTTCATCATTTGTTCCCCTCAATCACTTTTGAGAAGTGGTGAAATTTTGCAGGTCTTTATTTCAGTTACTCTGGTGTAAAAGCTGCCTTTATTTTACTTTGGACTGGAAAGTTGTGCAAAAATATACTGTGCAGGGTGTGTGCAAGGACAACTAGGAAATCCTACTCTGGGGAACTCTTTTATCTCAACCAATATGTAAATCAAGGCACAACTTTGCCTTTAAAGAGGCAACAGTTGACACCCACCAAGACAAAGTTTGTGCATTTTCCCAAAACCTTTCCTATCATATATTCTCCATTTATTAGAGAGAGGCAGAAATGATCCTGTGCCTAAACTTTTTATTCTTATTTGCATTTCCTGGAGGTAATGTTTCCCTCTATGTAGAGTGTCATTTCATTTGCTGTTCTTCTATACAGGGAATGTCACTGAAACATCTTTCTTTTTAGTTGTCCAATCTGAGGTCCTGTTGGTGGAGTCTGGAGGAGATGTGAGAAGACCTGGAGAGTCCCTCCATCTCTCCTGCGAAGCCTCTGGATTCACCTTCAGCAGCTATGACATGCACTGGGTGAGAAAGGCTCCAGGGAAAGGACTGGAATGGGTGGCCTACATACGTACAGGCTTGTCTCCTTCCACTTACTACTCAGAGAAAGTCAAGGGATGCTTCACCATCTCTAGGGATGATTCCCGCAGTCATCTGTATCTGCTCTCACCCTTAGCACATTTCTCCTTAGTTCTAGGTTGCTTCTCTCCTTGATTAGTTTCTTATCTTGCCTTTTTGT